CGCCGCCGCCGCCTTCTTCGCGCGCTCCAAAGCAGTCGTCTTGCCCTTCACCATCGTCGCTGGCGAGATCTCACACGGGCTTGCGGCGCTAGGGTGAGAGCGGAGGTAGCGGAAGGACTGGCGAAGGGAGAGAGGAAGAAGGAAGGAGAAGAGAGCGCACGGCTTGGAAACCCCGAGCCGGCAACTTATAAGGGGCCGCTCCCGAGTGGCTGACTGGTAGGCCCAGGCTATCCAGTCAAATCCCGCAGCAGACGCGCGCGCAGTACGTGGCGAAAAAGGTGACGCGGGGATCGAGGAGCTTCCGCTTTATCGCTTCCGATTACTGCGGCTGCTCCCGTCCCGCGCGCTTCCCAAAATCCGAATCCCGCGACATCCGCGGGCCGCAGAACAACTTGCCAAAAACAGAAGACCCCGCTCGCGCCGATGCTCGGCATGTCACAAGCAAAAAGATTCACTCGACGAAAGGCCTAGAATGGATCAAGGCGACTGTAAGAGGTTGATCACGTCATCCGTGGCGATCGACCCGAAACGAGGCACTCGTGTAGCTCAAAGAACCAGTCGGAAAGATCCCCAACTCTTTCCCCACTCTAACCTCGATCCATTCGGGGGCTAATGATGAAGCTATGTACCTAGGGTAGGGGCACGGACCCGTCCAAAGAGCCCTACCCAAGGACATCCCTAGAAGAAGCCACCTTTCAATCGACTTGAAGGTATCCCACTCGACGGGTTCAAGACACTCGACCAAGAAACTATCACTCGACAAAGAAACAACCACTCGACTGCCAGGAGACCTAAAGTCACTCCGCAGGCAAACGGTCAGCTGTTAAGTAGTCTTTATGGTCACTATAGCACTTTATTAGGGGCGTTACTAGTAATGCCCAATCTTAAATGTACCTTAAACCCTGCATTACTGAGGGCAGGAGGGGGCCGGCGAACTCTATATAAGCCACCCCCCTCCTCACTATGAAGGGTTCGCACCCCTGTTATCCACACACACATAATTCAATCGACCGCCTCCGGGCACCGAGACGTAGGGCTGTTACTTCCTCCGAGAAGGGCCTGAACTCGTAATCCTCGTGTGCTTACAACTTCTCCATAGCTAAGATCTAGCCTCTCCATACTTACCCCCTACATCACTGTCAAGTCAAGGTGTTGGCAGGCTTCTCGGCTCGGTCGAGGGAAAAAGGAGGAAGACCAGTCGACTGTCCTGGGGTCGCTTGGTCCTGACAGTAGAACCAGGTCGACTGCCAACCACGGACCGACTCCGGGAAGGTGATAGATGGAAAACAACTCTTTCCCCTCGTCTGGATCGCCAGGCCCCCGCACAGCTGGATCACCTGCGTCCTCTCGTCACTCGACTTGGCCTTCTTGACCGATTGAGAACGGCAGGTAAAGATGTGCTTGAAAAGTCCCCAATGGGGGCGGCAACCCAAGAAAGCCTCACACATGGAAATGAAGGCAGCAAGGTACACGATGGAGTTGGGAGTGAAGTGGTGGAGCTGCGCTCCGAAGAAGTTCAGAAAACTCCGGAAGAAAGGATGGGGCGGCAGAGAAAACCCTCGGTCGATGTGGGTGGCTAGGAGCACGCACTCACCGTCGCGGGGTTGAGGTTCGATCTCTCCCCCCGGAAGACGCGTAGCTTCGTGGGGAATGACTCCCCCCTCGACCATGTCATTGAGATCCTCTTGCCGGAGCACCGACGGCATCCAGTCGCCCTGGATCCAACCTTTGGGCAGAGCGGTCCTGGAGGAAGATCCGCCCCGAGCTGACCTCTTCCCTTTCTCCCCCGCCGCCGCCTTCTTCGCGCGCTCCAAAGCAGTCGTCTTGCCCTTCACCATCGTCGCTGGCGAGATCTCACACGGGCTTGCGGCGCTAGGGTGAGAGCGGAGGTAGCGGAAGGACTGGCGAAGGGAGAGAGGAAGAAGGAAGGAGAAGAGAGCGCACGGCTTGGAAACCCCGAGCTGGCAACTTATAAGGGGCCGCTCCCGAGTGGCTGACTGGTAGGCCCGGGCTATCCAGTCAAATCCCGCAGCAGACGCGCGCGCAGTACGTGGCGAAAAAGGCGACGCGGGGATCGAGGAGCTTCCGCTTTATCGCTTCCGATTACTGCGGCTGCTCCCGTCCCGCGTGCTTCCCAAAATCCGAATCCCGCGACATCCGCGGGCCGCAGAACAACTTGCCAAACACAGAAGACCCCGCTCGCGCCGACGCTCGGCATGTCACAAGCAAAAAGATTCACTCGACGAAAGGCCTAGAATGGATCAAGGCGACTGTAAGAGGTTGATCACGTCATCCGTGGCGATCGACCCGAAACGAGGCACTCGTGTAGCTCAAAGAACCAGTCGAAAAGATCCCCAACTCTTTCCCCACTCTAACCTCGATCCATTCGGGGGCTAATGATGAAGCTATGTACCTAGGGTAGGGGCACGGACCCGTCCAAAGAGCCCTACCCAAGGACATCCCTAGAAGAAGCCACCTTTCAATCGACTTGAAGGTATCCCACTCGACGGGTTCAAGACACTCGACCAAGAAACTATCACTCGACCAAGAAACAACCACTCGACTGCCAGGAGACCTAAAGTCACTCCGCAGGCAAACGATCAGCTGTTAAGTAGTCTTTATGGTCATTATAGCACTTTATTAGGGGCGTTATCAGTAACGCACAATCTTAAATGTACCTTAAACCCTGCATTACTGAGGGCAGGAGGGGGCCGACGAACTCTATATAAGCCACCCCCCTCCTCAGTATGAGGGGTTCGCACCCCTGTTATCCACACACGCATAATTCAATCGACCGCCTCCGGGCACCGAGACGTAGGGCTGTTACTTCCTCCGAGAAGGGCCTGAACTCGTAATCCTCGTGTGCTTACAACTTCTCCATAGCTAAGATCTAGCCTCTCCATACTTACCCCCCTACATCACTGTCAGAGTTAGAACCACGACACTCCCTCCGTCCGGAAATACTTGTCCTAAAAATGGTTGTATCTAGACTTATTTTAGTTATAGATACATCCATTTTCAACCATTTCTAAGACAAGTATTTCTGGACGGAGGGAGTATAAGTCTTTTTAGAGATTTCAAATGAACTACAACATACATATGTATATAGACATATTTTAATGTGTAGATTCACTCATTTTGCTCCATATGTAATCCTTTGTTGGAATTTCTAAAAAACTTATATTTGGGAATGGAGGAAGTATATTATAAAAAATCCAATTTTTTATTATATTATGTGCATTTTTTTTTCATTATTTGTGTGTTTCTTTCTTTCTTCTGAAAGGGTAATACCAATACCCTAATTCATTCTTTCTTAAAAAACTTCATTATTTTGATTTTGGTTTAGGTTTTGTTTTATTTTCTTTCTTCATTATAATACCAGTGACACTAATCCAATCGTTGCGAGGAAACTTTTTTTTGCGAAAATTACACGTATAAGGTGTATTAGTTTTTTCAAAGGTCAAACATGTGCATAGATTTATTTTCCATCGTAGATGTCAATATATTAATTCTATAATCTTGGTGAAACATATACAAATTCATTCCTTATATCGACACCTTATATTTTAGAATGGAAGGAGTATATGCTTATTGTTGCATATTGTAAAAAAGGTGCGATCTCTGTGTACATTGTGTGCAAATTGTATCATTATTTGTTTTGTACTTTTTTATTTTAGGAGGGTTATACCAATGCCACTAATTCATTCCTTGAACACACAATATGTGGATCAACTACGTATATTAGTGATGTCGAATTTTTCATCACACACACACACACACGCACAAGTACCCTCAAACACATGTGCGTACACATAGTTGGGGCACATGCATACACAATACATATGTGCCACTTCCTCCATTTCTAAGTATTTGTTTTTTTAGAGATTTCAAATGAACTATCACATACGGATATATATAGACATATTTTAAAGTATGATTCACTCATTTTGTTCTGTATGTAGTCACTTGTTGAAATCTCTAGGAAAACAAATATTTAGAAATAGATGGAGTAACACGCATGCGAGCACATGCACATGTGGCAGCGTGCACGCGCAGACACACTCGCGCGCACACAAAGGGAAAATAGACGTGCACACGTGAATTAGCTAGCACTGCCACTTTACGCTAATACTACTTACATATGGCTAGCGTTCCTTCGTGCCTGCTTGCCCTAAAAGAAAAAGTGACTGACCCTAAATTTATTTTCACGTGATTGACATATAGCCACGCCCAATTAAATATGTATTACATTTTTAGAAGAGGCTGGCTTATATCAGTAATCAATAATCCTACGTAGATTTTTCCTTTTTCGGACGCAGGGAGTATATGCATATATGTAACCATGTGAGATACTCGTATGTGGTAATCAATCCAAACTATTCAAAAGTATATGCATATATGTATCTATGTATGTAACCGAATGAAGGGAATACTATGTTTATGAATGAAGTGCAATTCAAGGGTGCGTGGTTTACAGGAATATCATACGAAGTTGAACTGCACATAAGGTACGTAGTTCAAGATGACATGACAGGAAGCATTTTTGTTTCAGAAACAGCAGAGAAAGGAACAACACAGCCATCAGCAATGCATCTCAGATCAATAACATCACAAAATCCGAATGAGCTAACAGAGTAGTTACAAGAAAAGTATCCTCGGAGATTTAGAGCCATAAACTCCAACCAAAACAGGCAATTCTGCACGTCTCATGTAGTAAAACGTTCTACCAGAATGGCACCACGTAGGAAAATGACACATCTAAGTCTATGTTTCTTTTGGTTCACCGTCAGCAGAACATGCTTCAAAATCACCACTACTGTGTGAAAAAGGCAAGGGCAGCAAACACGTATGCTATGTTCATTCCAACTAAAACAGAGCGAGCGAATATAGACCCAAGAGGAAATAATGTAATAATGTTTGCCTGAGATGACATGCCAATGTGTGATCCCATGTAATTTCACCTGTAGTAGGACCTGAATCATCAAATGCATCCATCGGCCTTAGTCCTCGTAACTGACACGCATCTGATCAGGCCTTATGCCACTATCAAGCAAGAACTGATTCACCCAAGGTAGCAGCTCATTTCCCTCCGAGCATATGATTTCAACAATCTCAAGCTGCTCACATGTAAATGATCTATCCTCCAGCTCACCAGTGATTGCACATATAACCCCATTTTCATACCAAGGCTGGCAAATAAAAAGGAACAGTTTTATCTTTACAGTAAATGCACCAACATTGATTGAAGGATAAATGCTATGGAGATGACCATATACCTGGTATAGATCAAGAGTTAGCTTCTTAAGATTAGGTGAGTTCTGAAGGAAGACTGTCAGCGCATAGAAATTCCCACACACACACCAACTATGAAGCGTCAGGTCTGTAAGATTAGGAAATGTTGGGCACCATCTGTAATTCTTTTCCATCTCCACCTGCAAATGATTGAAAGGATTAAGACAGAACATTAAACACATGATATTCTTCCATTTCTTTTTTCTGCTTCAACGAAACTTGCCAAAATATCTGGAGGGAGTTAACAAAATGTGATTACACTTCTGACCGTGCGCTGTTGAAAATCTTAAGAGCTATAGCTTTGGAGCACATTGAATATATTGACCCAGCGAAAGGCAAAACATACATTGAGTTGAGAGACACAGGGAGAAGGGGAAGAAGCAGCGTTGTTCAAGAGGAACGGAGATGGATGGTACCGGATCCAGGGTGGTGCAAGCTGAATACAGATGGGTCATTCGTTAATTCTAATGAAGCTGGTGCTGGTATGATCTTGCGTGACCATCTTGGAGCTATTAACTTTTCTGCATGTAGGGTTTTGTACGCGTGCAGAGACCCCCTTGAAGCGGAGCTGTGTGCATGCATGGAAGGCTTGTCCCTTGCATTGCAGCGTTGTGATTTGCCAATTGCTGTGGAGTTGGATTCTCTCGAAGCGGTCTCTCTCATATCAAGCCCGGACATGGATCGTTCTGTTTACGCTTCACTTGTTAGAGAGATTAAGTACTTATTGGGTCTTCGAAAAACTTGTATTTCTCATGTCGCTAGAACTCAAAATAAAGCTAGTGATTGTTTAGCTAGTTTTGCTAGATCCCAAGGTAGGACCATGACTTGGATAGGAGCTGGTCCAGTTCAAGTAGTGGATATAGCATCGATGGATTGTAAGGATGATGTGATTGAGTAATACATTGCTATTTCCCCCGCAAAAAAAAAAAGCTTTGGAGCACATTGAATATGAATAAATCACAGCACAAATAGAGATCATGTTAAACAAAATAACTGCATTAGACAATCGTATACTTATTTTCTGTTCCTCGATGGTCATGGAGCACATATGATTAAATCAGCATGGTTGCATCACATGATAATCTGTTGCTTTGGTCCAATCTGTTTGTAGGAGTTGGTAATGATGGTAACAATTGCTGAAGCACTTTACATTAGTATATGCTGATGAAGCTATATTATAGCCCAGTTATTGCACTAAGAATGAGCATATGCAACTAAAAAATAGCATATGAAATGAGATATTTTGGTCAACAATTATAATCCACTTATTGCTCCAGTTTAGTATGAAAACCTTAGATATTTTGGTCAATAATTTGATGAATCTACAAAATGGGCATATGAAATGGAATGTCTTGAGTGTAGACAGCATTAGTCATCCTATCAAGTGGTTAGGTTTGCAGTTATGGTACGCAATGACTCTTCCAGTTTAACAATAAAGGCAAAAAATGTGCTTACGTGGCAGATTATATAGTACAGGTTAATATCTAGAGAAACGTGATGTACCAAAAAAAGGTGTCATAGACAGGCGTGTTAAACCTAGCAGCTCACCTTTTCGACGCCATAACAGAGGTCCAAACTTCTAACATGAGAGAGTTCTCCAAGAAACTGCTTGATATCATCAGCATTACAATTACTGATTAACTTCCATACAAGTACGACTGACGCCGTCTCTAGAGATGTCATGTTCTTTAGTATAGGTAGCCTGGGCCCAGAAGGACTCCCGTCGATGGACAGAGAAATGAGCTTTGGAGCAGAAATAGAAGGCTGGTGATCATGCTCAAGTGGGTGGAGAAAGTCATCAGTGAGGGTCAAATACTTCAGTGTATTGGAGAAAATATCACGGTCCTTAATGCTGGTATTCGATACGAATAGATCCTCCAATACTGGGCAGCCCATGTCGAGGTGCTTAAAGAAACCTTGGAACAGAAAAGCAAAGCAGATGTGCAGTCTTTTCAAGTAGGCTGAAGTGAATACCGCAGGAGCGAGATGCAAACGATAGTTGTAATCGACAACCTTGACAGCCTGAGCCTTGTACTGTAACGCATGGGCGATCCATAGGTTGGCATCGGCGGAGTCATCTTCAGGGTATTCGGTGTCGGTCGGCAACCTGTACTCGAGCCAGAACGCCTCCAGGTCAACGGGTCTACGGAGCATCAGCAAACGGTTGACGAACCTCTTGAACTCAAAGTCGTCTTCATCATCATCTTCATACGGCATGTCTGCGAATTCCTTGAAAGACACGTCGATGCAGGGCACCCACTGCCAGAGGTCCCGCCAGCGCCGTGCCAGCACGCATGTGTGCACAGCTTCGCGTGAGCGCAGGTGGGAGAGAACATGGATGAGGAGCTCGTCCGGGAGGGCGCTGATCCTGTCTTCCATGCTCCCGTCGCCCGACGCCTCCGCCATGGGGTCAGAGCTCGGAGGCGTTCCGTCGAACAGGTTGTGTGCAGGGAGGCTGCAGCAACGGAAATGAACGAATGCAAGCCGTGAATCCGCAGCTCGGGACAAGATTTGGGACGGCAGGAAGAAGAGGAACGCAGAGAAACAAATATCAGGAAAGAAATGTCGAGAGAATCAACGAGGGGAGGTGAAAGGGATCGAGAGCATGCCTCCGGTGGTGCGCGACGGCGCTCAACTCTGTCCCACCCCAAATCCGGGTGGAGGCTAATGCCTCGACCAGCCTTGATGAACAGTAAGCGCCGTCAAGCGTCTAGTCTTTAGACCTCTCTGAATGCATTGGTGCTAAAGTGAAGTGCTAAGTGCATTAAAATGTTTAGAAATTAATGTCCCCAATGCATTGGTGCTTAGGTTTTGTAGCTAAGCCTCCTCTATTTAATTGTTTAGCAATAAAACTCCTTCATGTATTGATTGGTAGTCTTTTTGCCTAGGTTCACGTGCTTAGCATTGGTTCTTATTGGGGTCACTATAATGCTCTCTCTCCTCTTTAAATGCTTTGCCACATCATATTTCTGCCTATGTGGCACCCTTAGCACATGTACACCGTAGAGCACTGGGAAGGGCCTTATTTGCAAAGAGAGCACCGTAATAATTGCCGAGTAAAGTGAAAAGAACACGTATACTACGGTTTACGCCTTCCCGGAGAAGTGTTACTCTCTCGGTAACAAAATAGCAAATCATCCCGTCAAGTAAAACTACTCCTTCCTGTTAGAAGGGAGAGAAGGAGATTGGTGGAATAGTTGTTTGTATGATGGATGTTTATTGACTGAGCCTCGTGGGCATATATATATAGGATTACAATAATCAATTTGGAGTACAAGACAAGACAAAACAAATCATAGTTTATCCCATACTTCCTAATAATGATGTACTCAACATCCCCGTAGTCACAACGGTAGCGACGCAGACGGTGAGACTGGAGAAGAATCCGAAGGCAAGCCGACGGGCACCCCCCCCACCCACAGTCGTAATGGTCGATGCATCGTGGAAGGCGTGGCTGGAGTGAAAACCGACGAGATTGCTCAAGCAAGGCGGTAGCCCTTTGTGCCGTTTGTCGAGGTAGCCGAGACCGTAGGTGGTGTAATCGTCGAGGTAGCCGTGTGAAGAACACCGTGATCGGTGTCGAGTCGGGGGTTGTCGGTGTCGAGGTAGTCGCCGTGGAGCCGCGAAAGAAGAGCAGCGTCGGCCTAAGGAGGCGGCAGCGGCGGTGCTCGAAGTAGGCGAGAATGAACCCGACAGCGTGACGAAGACCGACGCGGACGGTGACGTTCCCACGCCAAGGAAGGTGACGCGGCGCATATCACGTGAAAGTCAACGCGCGTGGACGACGGTGGACCGCGGGCTGCAGCGTTACGGCCCGAAGGGGCGACGCGACGGCGACGGGCAGGTCGGGGCGACAGCGGGGAAGACCTAAGACGGTTGCAGGCATCGCGTGCCACGCTCGATATGCCCCGACGGGGCAACGCAATGGCAGCGCGAGGGTTGGTGCAGCCTCGGGGACGGCCTGGAGCAGACAGCCTCAGTGCGGCGGTTGACCGCAGGCCGCGGCACTACGGCCCGAAGGGGCGACGCAGCGGCAGCGCGCGAGGTGGTGCAACCACAGGAACGGCATCAGGGCAGCGACGGGGATCACGTGCCGCAGCACTATGGCCCGAAAGGGCAATGCAGTGGCGGCGCGGATGGGTGTAGCCACGGGGAGAACCACGGGGCGGCGACGCTGCGGCCCGACGGGGCCACGCCGCGGCAGCTGGTTGCTTGATCGGCGGAGGGACACGCTGAACTCAGGGACAGGGCGGTGATGGCCGGCTTAGAACGACGAGCGGGCCGATGCGTGGACGACGGTCGTGAAGGGCTGCCTATCGCGCGAGGCCATCGGGTCGGGGCGACGAGCAAGCAGATGCGCGGACGACGGCCATTAGGGGCCGCCTGTCACGCGAGGCCGCCGGGTCGGTGAAGAGGTCGACCGGTCGCGCCAGTGACGTAGTAGAGGCGCACGAGGGTCGACAGCGGCGGCGAGCGACGCAAACAAATCAAGTATAGATCGGAAAACCAAAAAAAATGCCTATCAAAACGACCGACAAGAGAGCGAAAAAACCCGAAGCAAGGGATCGGGAAAAAGACTGTCTAGGGCAGTCGGTGAACACGACCGACGGACGAACCCTAGGTACGGGCAGCGCTGCCCTCGGCGGCGGTCATGGAGACCGACCGCCCCGAGGGCCGCGCACGGGTGCGGAAGCGACGACGGCTAGGGTTTAGAACCCGGAAACTGATACCATTAGAAGGGGAGAGGAAGATTGGTGGAATAGTTGTTTGTATGATAGATGTTTATTGCTTAAGCCTCGTGGGCATATATGAGCACAATGATCAACTTGGAGTATAAGACAAGGCAGAACAAATTCTAGTCTATCCGTCGCAAAATAAGTTTTTTCTTTGAAAAGAAGGATAAACTCCGGTCTCTGCATCTAGACGATGCATGCAACTATTTTTATTAATTATTCATAAAAACCATATAAAGTAATACATCAGTCAACCTAAAGCCACCATCTAGGTAACAATATTGCTACTCCTATTCTCTCGATGAAGGTATGCCGACTATCCGGGCCAAATACCAAACGGATTGCACTAAACTCTAACATCTATAACCGGATGCCCCAGCCCAGCCACACACCAGGACTGGGTCCCATACTGGTTCGGCGCACTCTCAGAGGCTGTCGCCGCCATCTTCCTCCGGTCCATCTCCAAAGCAGGAGATGACGCATCGACCTTGCCCGGCCTGTCGTCGATGCCACCACGGCGCCAGACAACTCCACCATCCTGCACGTATCCGTCCACACGCGCTCATCGCTGAACCTCCACAGTGCCATGCCACCGGGATTCGCCGTCGACCTTGCAATGAATGCGACGCTGCTCCTCCGCTTGTCCCGTCCACCTAGCATTTGCTCCAAGCGATGCCCCCAGGAGGAACAACAACATTGAAGGTGCCATCATCGTCTAATCCGATTGATTCAAGTCTAGGGTTTTCCCCGGAGCATCACGAGTAGGGTGCCACGACCTGCAACAACGATGCCTCGAGAAGGGAACGACGTCATGGACGCCACCATCGTCCACCATGATTGAAGTCGGCGCGGTTTTCACTGGAAGTCACATTTCCCCCAAACTCACAGCTGAGTGTAACCGAACAGAGCCTCACTGTGGAGACGAGGGCCGCCATCGGCATGCCAACAAGGAGCCTCCAGTGTAACGCCCCATATGTAACTTGCCATATTTGTATTCCAACTCTTGCCATTTTCGGCACTAAGTTATGATATTCCTCGTTGTTGGGTTTTGTCTCCGTGTTGCTTTTGTCTTTGTCATGCATCTCTTATCATGTCATCATGCGCATCGCATTTGCATACGTGTTCGTCTCATGCATCCGAGCATTTTCCCCGTTGTCCGTTTTGCATTCCGGCGCTCCTATGTCCTCCGGTGTCCCCTTTTGCCTCTTTTCGTGTGCGGGTGTTAAACATTCTCAGATTGGACCGAGACTTGCCAAGCGGCCTTGGTATACTACCGGTAGACCGCCTGTCAAGTTTCATGCCATTTGGACTTCGTTTGATACTCCAACGGTTAACCGAGGAACCGAAAATGCATCGTGTGTGTTGCAGCCCAACACCTCTTCAAAGTGGCCCAAAACCCACCTAAACCCCCTCCATCTTCTCGGTCGTTCGATCACGATCGCGTGACCGAAAACCATGCTCAATTTGGAGCCTCCTAGCTCCTTCTATGTATAAAAGGCATCTCCTCCGAAATCCCGTATCCACTCCAACCCTAACCCTAGCCCCGCTCCCTCCTCGCGCCGGACACGTCTGGTCCACGCCGGACGTTTCACGCCGCCGCCCGCAGCCACTGGCATCGTGCCACGTGACCTCCTCGCCGCCCCCGCTGTCGCGGCCCGGCAAGCCCGCAGCGGGCCCGCCCGGCCCATCGCTGCCCGCGCCTCCATCGCGCCTCGCTCCGCCGCATCGCCGCCCCGCGCGCCGCCCGACTCCGTCGTC